CTTCCTGAACCTTAATCAATGTGCAACACAGTCCAGGAGCGCAAAGTAAGTGTTCGGAACAAAAAGTCCTAGTGGCTACGGGAAAAAACACACCTTACTGCCTTCGTCTCCGATATCACTGAAAAATCGCCATACAGGATGTCTTCTCAGACGCCGTCGTTTCAGTACAGTAGACGCCGTCGACTGACTGGCCGCACGCATTGATAGAGAAGCAGCATGCTTCTGTTTTACAGCACTTGAATGAGACTGTGACCCTGCAAGATTCTTTTTTTTTTTGGTTTGCTGAAAATATAAATGAGGAATTGGGGCGCTCTGTGGTACCCCTCCTGTAAGCCGCGAAGCCTGTTTTTGCTTCTGTCGATAAGAGGACCAATCTTTGCAGGTTCCACGCTGCTGCCCAGTTCGCACAAATCACGAATCTGATACAGAAAGCAAAAAACAGCACTGTCGATATTCACAAAACGACGATACGAAGCAGTCACATCGGTTTTGCTCGTGAGGAAAATAAAGCAAATAAAGTTCAAAACCCAAAATTCAGTTGCTATCGTGAAAAAGCGTTGACTAGAAGCTGATTAAGAAGACTGGGCCCAGCTTTTACATCTTTCCGTATGAGAGACTTTAAGTGGACATTGTAATACAAAATGCCAAGATATTCGGATATGCGTAAAATAGGTTTTTATATTATACCGTACATTTTTGCTTACTCACCACTATATACCGTACATTTTTACGAAAAACGAAAACTCGTCTTCTTTAATAATGCGATCAACAGGTAAGTATTGATAATCAGTATTTGTTATGGCATTCCTGAAACTTACTTTGCTGAACTGTGATCTGCGATTCTGCGGTTCCAGATGCGGTGGCACTCCCGGTAACGGAACCTGCTCCTGTTGCGGTGACGGGTGTTGTACCAGATAATTGCCTAGTTGCCGAAGATTCAGAGAGTGCTCTCAAAAATCCAGGCAGTAGAACCGGCGACGCTTTTGCAGTTGCGAGAGATCTCGAAAAATCGAGAAAACTGCTACTGCTGCTACTCAAAGCGGATGGTTGAAAAGGGTTGATGCAGCCGCTGCCGCTGTTGCTGCTGCTACTGCTGCTGGTAGAAGTAGTGGCAGTGGTGCCAGTGCAGGTCTGAGGGTTCGGGAAATTCGTAGGATTTAGGATGCTTAGAAGGGCTGCAGCATTACTTGCAAGGTCTGTTCTTTGGTTACTTGAAAGGGCCCTGTTTTCAAATGCAGGTAGTGCTGTTGTTGTAACTCGGTGCACGAAAGGTGTTGTTGGTGTGGTCGAGGTTGCTAGGGTTGCCGAAAGCGGGCTAGAACCCGCCACCAGCGAGCTTTGCAATACTTCTTGCTGCTCCTCCTCTGCCTTCAGCACCTGAAAATCGAAAGAGTTTTCATTTCTAAAAAAAAATTTCCCCCCTCTCCCGGGGACGAGATTCTCAAAAATGCATTTTTTATACATTTTTGGATGAGTGATTTAAGGCGCAAGTTATGATTTGAAGAAAAATCTACTCTCTGGTGCTCTACCTCTTCCAGAATGAACTGTTGAACAGCAGCTTCGAAAAACCACTGGAACAATAGTCTTTGCGGCTCTTCCTCTTGATGCATGTTCAATTGCCTCACTTTTGACTCAACTTCAGGCTCTTGGTCTTCTATTTCTTGCCTTCCCCTAATTAATCCTCAAGCAGAAAATAACAAACTGGATTTTCAGAATCACAGGTTACT